TACTCGTGTACGTAGGTACTGTTTATGTATTACGACATCCCCAGGTTGTAAGTGTGCTTACATACGTGCTTATATCGCCGACGCATGTGTGTGTGTGTGTGCGTGGTGCATGATGCGACTGCTACATTCGTACTCGCGCGTGGCATCGTTTTCCCTTTCACGGAACTGCTTTAATATTCCCCCGTAGTTAGTCGAGAGAAATCATCAAACAGTTTTTCACCCACTGAATTCCCAAACTTGTGCTTTGCATCCATGATATATATCACACGTGCGCATCCAGATCAAACTCGTATACGCTACGCGTAAGTTTCGCAGGCGTTTGATAATCGATAATTATCGGTTAGATTATTATTAGTTTTGCTAGTTCAGTCACGCTATGACATTACTCAATGTTTAATATAGATTATTTTATGCGATAAGATATGGCGTTTAAGGATGTTCAAGGCGGTCGCGAGCTTTTATTTTTCACAATTTGCATTGTTATTAAAATTGTCGCGGTGCTGCAAGATTAATGATATACATATTTTATGAATTACACAAATAAGCGAAACATTTTCACAGACGCTTGTTTGCCTCGAAGCTTTTAAATTTCCATACAATTACTTTTGTAATGTACATTCGTTTGTTCGCTAAATAATCAGTTTGCTTGTACAAAAAAGGTAATCTTTCGTTCGATCGACATCGGCAACTTTCATTACATCATTTTTCCCTCTCGCAGTATTGTAAGTACATGCGAGGCAATGGGTTCGATCTGTTATATGCTCTCATTCGAGCAAATCGATTCATAATTCCATCAAACGCTCCATCGTTCGCATTGTGCACCGATACAATTTCGTCTCGGCTGTACGCACGCAGGCCGCTCGCTCTCTCGCAAGTGTTTAATTTGCAAATTGTGTAACTCGAGGTAAAAGTATACTCGCGAGCATTGAGCTTTGCTCGTTTCGCGCAGTATAAACAGCCGATCCAATCACTTCGGAAGGGTAAAAATGTATATCAATAAACATACGCGCTCGCGAGTCATACGTATCGGTGGCGCAACGGTCACATTTGAGTGCAGTACGGTATAGAGCAGCGATTCTCGTTATGATTCTACCGCTTATATGATCAACAATGACAATCGAAACTCTCGATGATGAGATTTCCACGATGTGCCATAGTGGAACTACGCGCTGCAGCCAGCCATTATATATATATGCACGTACACGCGCCTGCGTACATATATCTAACTTAAATACAAGCCTAGAGCTGCATGGCGCAGTGCTTCTGCATATTAGCTTCTGAGCTGAGGGATATCAAAATAATACAACGACGTGCCGCTGCCTCTGCGCGAGCTCGCGCAGCGACGCACACAATTGATTGTACCGTTTGCCAATCCTATTTGCTTGTAATCCGTGTCATATTAACGTTGCGCGCGATCAGTTCGCGTATAACGCACTGCTGCTATACTCCCGCAAACGTACTCGAAAAAAGAGAGAATAAGGGACAAAGGAGGAAAAAGCACGTATAACACAGCTCGGCGCTGAAATGTGTACAGGGAAAAATGCGGTTGAAAAAAAGCCCTGATAACGACTAATGATCAGAGGCGGAGCCGCGCCGAGCTTTAATGCGCTTTCATTGCCAACGGCATAATCAAAATTGGTGGCGCGTGATAAAAACGTACTTCAAGCTTTTGTGCATATTATAGCAAACGTGAAGCCGTCAAATTAGTGATGCTCATTTTGGTCTCGTTACGGCGGCGCTCCTTTGCCATATATATATTTCATGCGAGTATATTATATATCTATGCAGGAATCGCGTACATATATATTATCCGGAAGATATCTATATAAAGCTCAGAATTCCGGCTTTTGCACCTATACCGGTGGTGTACAACTCGCGCGTCACGGACTAAAATTGAGTTATGCTTTGAGGATGTACAGTATATATATACAACGCACATCGTATCTACTCGCTCGCTCGCGAGAGAGAAGAGATCGCAAACTTTGCTTTGGCGTTGCCAGAGGAAAAGCTTGTCTTTGTTATATCGAGCTCGCGCGCACCGACTAAAATATGTGTTTGTGCATATACATATAAACGTATATAGAAAGCCAAGCCGATATTCGGCGCAGTATTTACTTCTCTCTCAGGAAACCTTATTGCTCGTGTTTCTCATTTTAATCGGGGTTTGCAAGCTGCGCACCGCGGAGCCGGGCATTTATCTTCTGGGTTTGTTGTCTATATATACGTGTGTGTGTGCCTATAGCGCATTAAATACGTTGAGCTTCGCGCGTTATTCAATCGACGCCCAATTCGATTGTAGTTTTGTGGGTTCAATCGCGCGCGTGTCCGACGTGATGGATACTGCGGCGGCTCAGGGGCTACACGCGATCCGGCCCAAAACACTTAAGCCGATACAAAACTGTTTCGGGTTGCGGTTAAACTTCTGAAATTGCTCTTCTTTTACTCGGTGTCCATGCGATCGACCTTGTCGGATCGACGAGTGATTCGCCATTATTATAATGACTTTTCGTTGCAATATAACTGTCGTATCATTAGCAGAAATGAAAAACACGGCAAAGTTTCTATTTTTTCTTTGCGCAAAAGCTTTCACTCGTCGCTATATACTACAACTGCTCCTATGATGTTCTTTGCCAGTCGATAACTGAACGAAGCTCCAGCGTATTTTTTTAACAGAATCAGCTCTCGAGTCTCGCATCATTTATCTACGGCCAATTAGCGCACGCTGCCTCTATGAGCTAAACTCTTAGCGAACTCGTTTCTCTACTTTCTGCTTGATAAAGAGATGCTGCATCACAGAGCATTATCCTTCATATATTATATGCACAAACGTCCTGTCTCTGTAAAATTGTTTTATTATTTACTAAAACACACCCCTCTTGGGCTTGAAAGGGTCCATGATAAAAACAGCTTATATGATTATGTGCAAAGCTTAACAGACTATAGACTGCACTTAGAGAACTTGAGGTCGACGGATGATCGCTTATAATTCAAAGATGCGCTTGATCTTTTCGTGAATTTTTCCTCACTGAATATATAGTAGATTGATCGGCTCACAACTTTGGTAGGAATCTGAATGAACTTTAATTAAGGGAAATTAAGGAAAAGCACGAGGCTGCGATGTCTCGCCAAATAGTTAAAGGTCTTGTCTAGAACTTAATCGAATCCTCTATGTAGCTGCAGGATGCAGTTCTAGATTCCACTTTTTTTCGCTCTCAGCTTCTCTGTACACGAATCGCTATACTCTACCAAGTGCATCTCATGCCCGCCCTTTCAGATGAATAACTCGTTTAACAAAGTAACTTTGTGGACTGCTGTATGTGCCAGAGCTTTTGAAAATATGCATGTAAAGCTAGCGCGCCAGGGTTTAATAACAAATTGGTATGCCATTGCGGTTGATATTACAAAGTCTTTCTGCGCGTATACACAAAATAAACACGTGGCTTTACGACGTGGCGCCGCCGCCGCCGCATTGATGCACGAGCGCGCGTGGATGAGACATGCTTATGCGAAAGAAACTTACTTATGCGGCACTGCGCAACCCTTTGCACTCTGTATATAGTTAATGAAAATATAGACGCATGGGTAATTTTGACTAGCGTCATCTCTCGTTTGTAGAGCGAGATTTTTGTTCACCAATCGACACTTTGTTGAAAACAAACAAACTCAATTAAGATAGAAAATTAAGCGAAAACTCTTTGAACAGCAGGGCAAAAAAGATCGCTGCGCGTTTATTTTATTTGCTTAAAAACTTGGCTGCTCGTCCTTGGTGATATTCTACGTGGATTAAGACAAACATTTTCCTTGCCTTGCAATTTTTCCGAGGAAGTATTTTAATCCTAATTGTGCTTCCACCATATCGCAATGAATTAAAGGACTCCCGTACAAATTCAAGATTCTCCTCTCCAATTACAACGTACCTCATTGAGTAATCCAACAATCTCTTTTTTCTCATCCTTTCTTTCAGGACGCACACTATACTACTGGACACTATATGCCCGGCTGGCAGGATCGCATCGACGGAAAGAAACGAAAGAGACTGCAGCACACTGTAATTGCACAGAAAGCGCGTACACGTTAAAAAGCGCAAAAATAGGAGAACAAAAACTTTTTGAAAGAATTAACAATGACCCGATGGTAGTAGTGCCGGACTTTTCTCCATTGTTCGGACCGATTCGAATATTTCGAGCGCAAGTTAACTGTATTCATCCGAGAGCTTTTTTTTATCGTTTAGCCAACATTTGTCCGAGTGTAGCTGGCGCTACTACAGCAAGGCGATCTCGATACTTAAGATCTTTGCTATTGCCCGAGTTACGGATATATCCAGACCGTGCTCTATATCGAGTCGTTAGAACAGCAATACAAGCGCGCTGTAATGTTCATAAATTGGCAATGAGAAGGCGAAATTTTAGCCAATACTCGTCGCGCTTTTGAAACTGGCTCGCTGGCTGTAATACTTGCAGCCCTTGATCAGCGCGAGAGACGCAGAGATCCGCGTAATTTTTTCATAGGGGTCCCTCGAAGAGGATTAAATTATAAGCAATGCGCGCCGCCTGCTTAATACGCTTTAATTATACAAAACCGAGGACGGCCAGTGCTATATTGTTTGCACGATGTACGTCGTTGTCATCGTACTAGTCGTCGACGCTGAACGTCCACATTTTCATAATAGCCTAGTTTTGCAGCTCTGACAATTACTCTACGCTAGTGCACTCACTGGTGGCTGCCTAGCCCTCGCCTCTCTATCCTCTCCCTCTCTCTGTGTAAAAGCCTCGCTACTTTTGTACGTGTTACGCGCTTGAATCACAAAGCTTTTCCTTCGCTTTCAGCTTGCGAGCTTGCAACGCCGAGAGCAGCTCTATCCAAACACACTCGAGAAATTTCTCTCTCTCTCTCTCTCTCTCAGCTGGCGAGCATATCATACCGCACGCGCTCCCTGGAATTACGTGTACGTTGCGGTGGAGCGTTACACAAATTTATATATGTTATATAATGGTACTTACATCGAGGAGATTCATGAGGGATGCGCGCCTCTGAGGATCCGGCTCGGTCATGGCGGCCAGCACGGACTGCAGCGCCGACGAGGGCGAGACGGAAACGGTCCCCGTCAGTGCGGTGGCTCTGGGCGTCGTGTCCAGCAGGGCTCGGCCCAGCGAATACATCCACATCTGCGAACAAGACAATGAGAGACGAGCGTTAGAGGCGTTTTCACGTTGAATGCATATGCGAGCTGCGCGATATGTGTAACGTGTGGAAAGCTAATAAAGGACACGAGCGCTCGAGTGAGTTTTCCATATATGACGTCCGCGTCAAGTCGTGATGAGGATTATAATGATTTTCGATCGACAGCTACACATATAAAGAATATTAACCTGTTTTCAATTCACTGACGCACTCGGGCGTACGCGTAACGCGGATAATACTCCATACTTCATGAGAAAACTTACTTTCGCCGACTTTTCAACGTACCATGAGCTGATTATCGGCTCGCACGAATTTCACGCGGCGCACAGCACAACACGTACACCCTGTGCTAGAGAGTATACGCATGCTTAATCGATCGAGCCGAACCAAAACTATAATTCGCAAACTTCGAGTTTGCCCTCCGCTTTACACTCTTTTCCACCCTTGATCACAATGGTGTTAATAATTAATCCGCTGAAATTCGAGTACTCAAACGCACATCGGCTTGTGAATATATACGCGGAATTGAGAATGATGAAAAGATGAAGGGAGAAGACGTCGATGCGCGATATAAGGTGCACTAATAAACGAGCTGACGCGATTATCGCATATATACGAGCTGCTGCTAATTAATGAAGCACACAATATCGCGAGCGCTGAAGGAGCGTCGAGTGGCGTGACCGAGTTTATTCCTTACGTATCGCGATGCACACGTACTGCTGCGGCGCTTTTTGTAAATCCACGATCGCGCCCCACCTTACACTTGGGTATCATTCACCGAGATACTCGGGCGGCATTGCACACCGCTACAGCTACAAGCTAATCGATATACCAACGATGCGAATTTGCAGTTTTGCTTTCGGTATTTTATACGAACGCGGCACTTTTTTATATTTTGACACGGGGGATCAAGCGGGTGATCATCGCTAAAATGACGCTTATACTCCCATTTGGGTCGGATAAGTTCAACGAGCGTTGCTGTAATACTTTTTCCACTCAGCTGCTTAAATGTAATGTGTAAACTCAGTTAAGCGAAAGTTTTACAATTGAAGATTAATTCAAGTCCTGTCATTTGTTCTAAAATTAATTTTAAAGTTCTGAAATTAGCTGTTTCTTAATTGCAAGCAGCTATTCGTAGGAAAAAAGTTATTTATCGCGCACGCGTGCCGATAATTTAAAGCCCGCGTGTAATTCACTCAAAGCTCATGCAGACTGAAACTCTCAAAGCTAACATCTCGCATGAACGTGCTCAGCCTTGTCTTGACGGAGCTTGGAAATTTCGTTTCATCCTTACAGTTTATAAGCAATATTGTATCTCTCTATGTGTTTCGTTCGTATAGTTCTTCAGCGCGCGCAATGTCGTTAAGTCATTGCTATTGAGTGCTATTCCCATGTTGATTGGCCGATGATTGAGTCCCGATAGAAATGGCTCGGTGGGTTATAGCGCGCGAATGTGTAAAGTTAGGGGAAATTCAGCGAAGAGAATTACCCATAGACTTTAGGGCGGGACGACCAATTGACGGGAAGATACTGCTCTCGCGAGTGGAGAGATCGAAACTTTAAAGACTAATTGATATTGGCTGAAGAATTGATAGGAAACGTTTCAAATTACTTTTCCGAGATTTCCTAGAGATTGCAACTATCGCTCAAGAATTACACACTGATATTTTATTAAAAATAGTAAACTTGTTATCACAAAGAATCATCGCTATTGAAATATTCTAATGAAAAAATGTCCTCGTTTTATGAGTATGAACAATTTTTAATTTTTTTATGAACTCTAAATTATTTCGTTTTAGTCGAGTGTTTGTGAATTTACGTAGAAGGTTTTATAACGTTTCCATCTGACTGAGATGTTTAAATGAAAAAATTTACCGAAAAGCATAAATTTGCAAAAACTTGGAAAGCTTGAAAGTGAAGTTTTTACATACCTTTTCTGAATCAGTGTCTGAATAAATACGTCCTGGTCGGTATTCAGGTGGCAAGTATGCTCTTGCTGTATCGGGAGCAGCTTGAAGTAGCTTTACTCTTCCTTGAGCCGTCAGCTCAAGAGTGTGTGGAGTAACCAACGGCTCGGCTCGAGAATCACCTACGACTCCTCCATCTGCAAAAGGTTGAATACACTCTCGATATATTACATGAAGATTTCAATTTTGTTTTTTACATTGGTGTTGTTTCAAATGAATTTCTACTGTTCACAAAGTAAATATGATAGAAGCCAACAAACGTAAAATAAACAAATTTTTCATTTATTTTGTTAATTGAAAAACTGTATCAGTTAATTGATGATTAAATTCGTCCGGCTCAAAATATTTTATGCTTAAAGTGCAATTTGCATTACACTTACATTTTACTGCACTCAAGTTTGTAAGAATGATGAAAAAAGTGTAATCAGTGTGTCTATTATATTTTCTCGTTTGAAAAGTTTTTTATTATTACATCTCATGAAAAAAAGTACGATTTGTGCCACGAAATGGTGCCACTGAAATAGCGTTTTGAAAGTCAAGCGAATTTGTTACATCTTCTCCGATTTATTTTTGAACATAACATCTTTTTAAGAAAAATAATTTGACCAGTTGCTGGTCTACCATGTATTTTTTTTTTCAAAAAAACCAGTAGTGTGTGTTTTTAATGGCTACGGAGTAAAAAATTCATATTACCCCTGCATAGAAACACATTTTTCCGCGTTCAGATAAAGCTCGTGCGTATGTTTTTCTTTTCTTTTTTTTTTATTTTCCATACTGAAATTCACTGTGTATTGCTTACAATAAAATTCCGATTCAAATTAAAGAGCTTATATCTTAATAGGAACAGAAAATTAAGTAAATTTCGGTTAACAAATTCAAACTGTTTCAGAGATAATGTGGTTAAACGTATCAATGTTTTGTATTCAATTTCTTCGACCAATTTATTTCTCTTAAATTTATTGAAATTTAAAGGGGAGATCGATGGTGCATTCCATCGACCATGGATTCCATTCAATGCAACGTATTTCAAATCTATGTTAAAAAAGATCGATAAATAATTTTGAAAAAAGTTGAAAGAATTTATGGGCTAGAAACTATTTTTTGGTTGTTAATTTAGTTACTAACGAAAATCTAAAAAAATATTTTTTGTTGGATTATTTGTTTCTTGATTAGATTCTTCATTCAAATCATCCCGTTATATTCTGAGTTGACAAGTCTATTATACGTTGCAGCAGAGACTTGTATTATATTTATAAAATTTTCATATCTAATATAACTTTTTTGCAACCGCAATTTGTTACTCGTATTTAAATCTTATATTCATTTTGACTTTGTTCTTAGTAACTTTACCATTCTTTTTTCGATTCAGTCAAAGGACTTTAGACATGAATGATAATTCTTATACTTACTTGATAAAAAAAGATCTTGGAGGGCCTGGGCAGCCTGGCATAATAACGCCCATGTCTCGGCTGCTGCCAATCCTGTTCCGCGTAATGCAAGGACGTCTCCCACAACGACCTCTAATTCGGCGCCGCCAGGGGTCTTCATTGGCATACTGCGAAACACACGAATGAATTGACTCAATCTCATTTTGAATTCTGAATTAATATTGAAATAATTGTATATCTTCTATGAAAATATGGAAATAGCATACTAATTACAGTTTTTAAAACGTAAGTTTGTACCATAAACATATGATTGTTGGAACAATCGTAGTTAAAAATTAAGTAGTAATACACGTTAATGGGTCAGACGCACAGACCCTACAACACAATGCACTTGCTACATACAGGGTGCGACAAAAGTATGGAAACCCCTGGAAATATCGCAGAATATTCGTTAAAAAAAAATCAAAAACCCTATATCCGACGTATTTTTCGACGAGGAATCCGATGGTGACCTTGAATTTGACTTTGGACGTAACCTTGAAGCCCCAGCGACCCAAAAATCGATTTTTGAATAGGAAACCCCCATTTTTTATTGCAGATTTGGAAAGAGCGCAAAATTTTACGAAAAAACATGTATTTTGTTTTTTTTTTTTAATGATATTTTTAGAGGTGCAGCGCTTGATATAAAAAATACGTCAAAAATGAAAATATTGGTCGGAAACCCTTGGAAATATCGCAGAATATTAGTTTAAAAAAAATCAAAGACCCCATATCCGACGTATTTTTCGACAAGGAATCCGATGGTGACCTTGAATTTGACCTTGGACGTAACCTTGTAGCCCCAGCGATAGTTTTTTATACCGTGTGTTGAAATACGAACGCCAATCCTTTTTTAGCGCAACCCAGGAACAACGACGTGGACGTAAAGGTTTCTGTTCCCTTTGGGGTGCTTTTTTTAAGTGAGTTCCCCTTGCCTCTCACTTTGGGGTGTTTTTTTAAAGTGAGTTCCCCTTGCCTCTCACTTTGGGGTGCTTTTTTAAAGTGAGTTCCCCGTGCCTCTCACTTTGGGGTGCTTTTTTTAAGTGAGTTCCCCGTGCCTTTCACTTACAACAAATGCTCGAAATGCTGTCCATTCACTTCTTGGCAATAACCAAGTCTATTGTAAAATGAATGTACAGCATTTCGAACCATTTCTCGTGGAATAGCTTCAGTTTGTTGAGTTATTCTCCGTCTTAACTCCTCAAGACTTTCTGGTTTTGTTTGATAGATTTTATCTTTCAAATAACCCCACAAAAAAAAGTCTAAAGGCGTTAAGTCCGGAGATCTCGCTGGCCATTCTACTGCACCTCGTCTACCTATCCATCTATCAAAAAATTCTTCATCAAGGAAATTCCTGACGTTACGACCGTAATGAGCTGGAGCACCATCTTGCTGGAACCAAGTATTATCATAATTATCACCTTTCACAGCTCTTATGGCTGGGCAGATATCATTCCGCAACATTTGCTCGTATTTTTCAGCATTTAAATTTCCATCGATAAAAAAGGGTCCTATTATTTGGTCATCTACTATTCCCGCCCATACATTTAATTTTTGGGGATATTGTGTTTTATCTTCTCTTATCCAATGAGGGTTGGTATCGGACCAATAACGGCAATTTTGTCTGTTGACATTGCCATTTATTTGGAACGTGGCCTCATCAGAAAACACAATATTACCCAAAAGTAAAGGATCTGTGACCAACATATTCATCATCCTTTCACAGAACTCAACGCGACGATCTGGATCGTCCTCGTTCAGTTCGTGAACGAGAGTGACTTTGTACGGATGGAACTTGTTAATTTTTAATATTCTCCGTACTGTCATATCACTGGTTCCTTGTTCCAGTGCCGCAGATCGAGTCGATTGATGGGGGTTTTCAACAAATGACAGGATCACATCCAATGATCTGTCATCTGTGGTCATTGTTGCTGGCCTTCCAGGCCTGACACGGTCTTTAACAGATCCTGTTTCCTCGAATCGTCTCAAGGTTTTTGAGACCGACGATTTCGAAAGAGGAGGAGGGCCGTTATTGTTACGGAAATGCGCGTTGAAAAGAGCGGTAACGTTATTATACGATCTTTTCATATTTCCCCAACCTCTCATCATTAGCAAGCTAATTCTTTCCCTTTCCGTCAAATGAAACATTTTAAAATTTTAAGGTTTGAGAAAAAATGTACGATGGAACTTTTGTAAGCAATAGATAAGAATTAGTATTTTATACAAAGAATGCTATGAATGAGATTTATATCGACAGAATTACACAAGTCTCTTGCCTTGAAAAGTCAGTCAGATATCACACGAAGCAAAATGAGATGGTGTATTTTTTCCATAAAAATGTTAATTGAAGATTTTCAGTTTTATGTTTAAATTTTATTATAAAGCTTTAGTTATTCAAGCTATTGAAATTGTTGACATTAAAATTAATTTTTTAAATAAAATTTTTAATTTTAAATTTAACATTAAAAAGATTAAAATGAATCAAAGTATTAATGGTAGATCAAATTATTTTCCCTTATGATGTATCCGTATTTAGATTCAAAACAAGTGAGAAAGTAGTACGCATGCAACGTACGTGGATATAATTTTTTGCCCAACGAAGGATCTTAGAAACAAGTTACAAAATACATTTTTTAACGTAAAACTTCCCGCTCTTTCCAAATCGGCAATAAAAATGGGGGTATCCATTTGAAAAATTCATTTTTGGGTCACTGGGGCTACAAGGTTACGTCCAAGGTCAAATTCAAGGTCACCATCGGATTCCTTGTCGAAAAATACGTCGGATATGGGGTCTTTGATTTTTTTTAAACTAATATTCTGCGATATTTCCAAGGGTTTCCGACCAATATTTTCATTTTTGACGTATTTTTTATATCAAGCGCTGCACATCTAAAAATATCATTAAAAAAAAAAAACAAAATACATGTTTTTTCGTGAAATTTTGCGCTCTTTCCAAATCTGCAATAAAAAATGGGGGTTTCCTATTCAAAAATCGATTTTTGGGTCGCTGGGGCTTCAAGGTTACGTCCAAGGTCAAATTCAAGGTCACCATCGGATTCCTCGTCGAAAAATACGTCGGATATAGGGTTTTTGATTTTTTTTTAACGAATATTCTGCGATATTTCCAGGGGTTTCCATACTTTTGTCGCACCCTGTATAACCGTTCAATCATTCTATATTTTCGTATAATGATGGCCACTATCTAGATGCATTGTATTTTAATTTGCGAGTATCGTGATATCAACATTTGTACGATAATCTGCAGCGCAACGAGTAGAATGGACAAAATACATAATCGCATATGATTGCCGCTGGGAGAGAATTTATTATTCGTTGCAATGATACACACTGATCTCCAGAGTCGCTGGGCTCTCGTATTCGTTAATAAATTGAAATATCGATGTTAGTTATTGCATTCATTTGCGCGATATACATATATAATGTGATACATGTACAAAATTGACGTATAAAGTAGTGACCAACCTTAAACATCGTCGATGGGCGCGTTGGCGCGCGGAGCCGTTCTTGACTGGATGATTTCGTAGGGGGCGATCGCATGCGGCAACCGTGAGCCCGGCAAATAGTAGGCCAGACAAGAGACGCCGACAAGAAAGAGAAAAAACAGGAAGACCAAGTCGAACATCAAAAGTGAGTTCAAGGTCAGTAGTTGCATCGTACGGCTTCCTTCACCATATCACAGGCAGAATTTTTCTTTTTTGCATACACAGTTTTTTTTAGGGGTGGCACGTAGTTTGCCACGAATCGTTGGGGATTGCAGTCTAGTAATCGTTTGAATAACCTTGTAAATTCGAAAAAAATATCGATCACTCGTGACAACTTTTTCAAAAGTCCGAAATAGATATTGATTGATGTTTGATTTTCACTTTCGAATAGACTTATTCGTTCTTGGATTTGAATTGATTCTTTTTGTGGACAACTATATAATGCCCTATTATTTATTGAAAATACTCCTTAGAGAATCTTCTCTGAGGGCCAATTACTCAGTCATTAATGCCTTATTGATTTCTCATTTGTGGCATCTAGCTACAGGGTAAAGTACGAATTTAATATTCCAGCTTAATGTTACGAATTTTTATCATTTTTTCCATCAATAGCACATTTATGTACATAAGAAAATCTGATTTATATTCATTATATAATGTCAAGTTTCATTTAAATTTTTAACGTACAAAAGAGATTTTTTGATAACGTGAAGCTCGAGTTTTTTGCAAAAATAAAACATTGGAAATACGCGGGGGAATTCTATGGATTATTACGAGCTCATTTGCGAGATAATATAATGAAACTGCGTATAATCTAACTTATAGAATCTTTTTTTTTTGTCCAACATTGTCGTGCTAAACCAAGGGTGTTTTTAGCTTTTTCTTTTTGAAAGTGAAAATGTAATCACGGGCACGGTGTCTATATACACAATTTCTTTTACTTGCTAGACTCTTTAGACCGTTAATTTAGCTTCAACGAGTTTGAAATTTAAGATTTTTCTCTCGCACTAGTTTCCTTCCCATATTTCGCTGTTTTTTGCTCAGTTAAATTTTTTCCTACATTTCCAGGACTTCTCACTATAAAATTTCCAAGCGCTCCACGAAAAAGTACCCTTAAAATGTATGCGCAAGAAATCTTGCGGAAGTCGTCGAGAAAAAAATTCAAGTATCGGTCGGTTAAGGTTTATAAAAAGTTTAAATTGAAATTAACTTCGAATGGAGGAGAGGCTCTCGCGTGCAGGTGGGATACGTCTAAACCGATTAGCGCGGCCGTCGATCTTGGACGATGGAATTAAAGGCTTTGAAAGTGACGGAAAACTTGGCGACGTTTTAAAAGTGGTCTTAAAAATCATCCGAGCTAAATGTTTATACCCCCGGCCTAGGCTATATAATTGGAAACAGCTAGCTGGCACGCCAGGAATGAGTTAGTGAACGTTCCCGGGCGAAAAAAAGACGAAGAAAAAGAAGCTCTCGAATTACGCGAACTTATAAAGCGCGCGTGTCCGTTGCACACGAAGGGATGCTATTTTTTCTCTCCATCTACCCTTGCCGGAGCGGTAGCAGCAGCAGCGGCAGCGGCGGCGCGTTGAGATGGTATTCCAAGCACGCCCTGGTGCTCTCTAATGAATTCTTCAAATTAATTACTTGTCCGGTCAACATTCGTGCCCCCGTCCTATTACAAACGCGCCAATGCTACAACGCACTAAGTGCCATTGCTCTACGGACTTGGGCTTGTATTTGTAAATGCAGCAAGGCGTGTATTTCCTGCCCGCTGCTTGCTTGTTGTCTTGACTGATACGGGAACTGCTGCTGCTGTTTCTCTACGTGTGCATAGTCCAGCTCTAGCGCATCATGCATCACTGAGCAAATCTAATTGAAAATTCGATTTTTCTTTCCTTTTTTTGTTGACGTTTTTTATTTCCCAAAACCTTAAATGGGTTCAAATCAAATATTTCTAATCAAGACTAAAATAACGAGAAACCTATATGGGGGCTTTCGCTTTGCAGGGGCTATCGACGAATATATCTCTTATCGACTATGGTACGCAAAAAAGAATGGAAAATCCGATTGGACTTCGTATAAATGTAGTTTACGTATTTACAATGGTGAAACTTTCAAAACAAATTTAATCTATTTTAAAAGTCTTTAAAACAAAAAAAGAACGAACAGATCACGTTTTTATTTGTAGAAAAGTAAATGTAGCTCATGCAGATGCAATCATTTATTCACAATAATGTACGGCTGAGAACTAGAGCCAAAGGAAAAAACAAGGATTTTATGATAATCCTTGTCTTTTTTATTAGGAATTGCATCGTCTTAACTGGTGCCTTTTTATGCTGCACAAACGACAATCGTCGCTCTCGCATTCGTTATCAACGAGGCAAGTTGGCACTTCCTCATGAGCATAAAAATTAATTTTTACAACAAGTTGTAAACACAATCGTTACCTTTTTTCGCGCACGGAATTAACAATTAACGAGAAAGAAAAGTGTTTTCTTCTTAATCTCTGCAGCTTTTTTGAAAAAAAAGAGTCTTTTGTCGGAAGGGTAAGTGTTTTCTGCGAGATAAATTAAAGCGCTTATTCCTTTAAAGGGATTGAAAATTCGATTTTTGGCCTGGCTTTGCCCTTCCCTTAAATAAAATATTTGATTGACGCTATTGCTTTATAGTTCATTTTAGTTAATAATTGCGTTCGCTCGTTACATTGATCAGTTTGTAATAAAAAAAAAACACATAAAAAATCAGAGCTTATAATTTGTAAATCACTTAAAAAACCCATACTTTTATTAAGTGGACTAATTAAATTCAGCTAGATCTTGGGTGAACGATGAAACCAAAGCGGTACATAAAGAAAAATTTCATCTCGGTGACAAACATCAATCAAAATCCGTTCGTGTTAAAGATACACTCGGAGAAAGTAAACACCTGTTCTCGTGAGAAAGAAATAGCTAGTGTAACCCTGGCTCACGACAGTTTTTGGCGATTTCTAATCACGAGAAATATGTTTATTTCTACAGATTGCATCGCTCATTATTGTGACATGTGGCGTGTTTTTTTTTTACTTTTCACCGTTTCACGGGTAAATTAGCAGCTGCACTTATGTAGCCTCAGGATTGGCCACACACACTCTTTCGCTCTGACACATACGCTCACACACACGCCTGCAGCGAAATCGCGACGTAGAGAGAAAGAGATCGACCGAACACACGTTATAGTATGGCCATATACGAGCGGCTGTCTGAGTGCTCGTTGAAGCGCGTCGCGTGTGCGAGCAGCGGCTCACCGTTGGTGCACCGAAAAAATTCGCACTCAGCAATAATGGCCCACGCACACTATAATAATAGCAGGTACTTCCGCGCCGGTCGGCGCTCACATCGCACAAACTATAAAACTCGAATTCGTTCGCTCGCTCACTCACTCACGCACTCGCGCAAAGCAACGTGTGTTGTGTCGAGCCGACACTACCGATAAGCATCTATCTACGAGACATTGATATTATGTGTGCGATACACGACGAGGGTGTCCCTCGGCACGAAGAAGCAGCGAAAGATGTATATCAATGAATAACGGCTACTACTACTACTACTAGTCACCACTCGGGGAGAACATCGCGACTCGTCGCGGGGGCAATCGCACTCGAGGCAGATATACTCGCGCCACGGAGTGCGGCTTACACGGCACTGTGAGCTCGCGGCGCGCGTCAGTTGTCGGTTACCTACCCGCCGCTGCTTCTACCCACCCGCCCGTACTCGCCCCCGCTCGAACTGTGCACCGACGATGTGCAGTGCATGCACCTACCCTCCGGCGCATGTGTATGTGTAGGTGTGTGTGTGTGTGCGTGTGTGTGCGAGGGTGTGTGGGTGCCTGTGCGCGCGGCGCCCCCCACGCAACTGTTGCGTTTCTTCCTCTGCCGTGTGCTCGCGTCGGCTCGTGTATGCGCGCACCTATACACGTATAAGCGCGCGGGGCTAGGCAATTGAACTTGGCTAAATGCAGACGCGGCTCAACTTATATACACATACGTATACGTAGTAGTTGCGGCTTGTGTGCCAGAGAGAGAGAGGCAAGTATTAAGTGGGATGTTCGATGCTCTTTCGGCTTTAGAAACAGGAGGGTAGGACTCCTTGAGCGGAAGCACGAGGGCCGTCCCTCTTCGTCCTGTTACGTAGCATTATACGAGCGACGAAGGGGCCTCGCGTGTACGTAATAAAGAGCTGCGCGATGATGAATTGGTCGATTGCGCTTATACCGTGCGCTGGCCGACGGAGACGACGACGGAGACGATAAGTGACAGGAAAAATTTACTCACGTCTCGAGGAAAAAAGAACGTCGGATAGTTATACAGTGACACCGGCGTTTGCCTTTAAACCTAAACTCCGTAAGCGCGCGATATGAATGAGTTTTCATTACGAGGGCTTTAGTCGACGGAGCGGGGGCGACTCTGTATGCCTTTCCTCCGCACCCTCCCTCGCTGCATAGCCTCTCTCTGCTTGCGTGTTTTATGAGTAACTTTTTTGTAAGAGAAATTTCGAGATATATGAAAAAGACCAGGATGGTATATATTTCTTTCAACTACGACCATTTTTTTTATTTTACATTTTTTTTCATTTTTTTTTTTTTTTACTAATATCCCTCTCTCGCTCGGAATGTTGATGAAATGAGAAACTTCATCTCGCGCGCGAGCACACACACATACATTTACTTTTTGGATTAACTTTTTCACGAGCGCAACAGATCGTGCACATTACGTATTATACTATAGCGGGCGCGTGAAAAATTTTCATTTCTCTTTACACGACACCGCGACGCTCCCACAGCTATTATACGAATTTACCTACAAGTGTATTATACAATTTTTGTAATATGTTCAGCGCGCGCAAGCGTGTAGTAACTCTATACAGAGAGCCACGGATCCGATTAAAATGTGCCCTTTCCATCGAATTTCGTACACGCGGCGAGAAAATTGAAATCGCAAATCGACGCATAAACGCTAAACTGTAGTTCCATCGTTGGTCGTTGCAACGCACGCATCAATAGAAATTGTAAATACTTTACACGTATTTGAATAATCTAACATCCAGGCGCTGGTAAATACGATAACGCTCTCTATATTCTGACCTATTTGTTTACCAAACACCCATATTGTCGATCTTTCGAAGAGGCGTGCGCTATCAGCCACGCGTATTCTGTGCTGTATAGGTCCCACTGAAAAAAGCCGTCAGCTCGTTACACTGCAGGCGCGACGGCCACTGCGCGCGAATGCCGATGCACATTAGCGTGATCCTGCATGCATACGCGCCGCAGCGAAAATGTATGGCTCGAATGAAAACATGCTGCGAACTGATAACGGTTGAGCGCGAGCGACGATATCTTAATTCCATGTTTATTTATAGCACGTAGTATTGTCGATGTGCAGGTTTACCTGTAAGTGTGAGTGAGAAAGATCTAAAAATGTTCCATTCGTATATGTGTACGGCTAAATTTATATACGAGGAAACTGTTGGAAATGTAGTAAAGTCGCTGATGCCTGCAGTACTCGATATCTAAAAATAAAATTCTCGCATCTATTCAAGAAAATGCAACTGATACACTAGAGCGAAACCATAAATCACCTTTTTTTTCATTCAATAACGCGCAAAGTATTCGATTTCGTAGGTTTTTTGACCGCGCGTGCATCAATTGAAAACAGTTTTCAGTGTAAGAGATGAAAATATAAAAAAACAGCAAATCATGTGTCGACTACAGCTGCGTTACAGAAATTCGGGTAACGATCCCACATAGCATCGAAAAACATTTTTGAGGGCAAATTCCGGGAGCTCGCGTATTACGAGCAACTCATCGAAACAACAAGTAAAAAGCTCGAGACAAAGCTCGGCTTCATATTAAATTTCCATAATGGCACACATATAAAGTTTCGATCGTATCGCTCTTTATACTGTCTGGCACGCGGCGCGCGGTGCAGTTCCGTGTACTGCAGGATGAATTTTGCGAGTGGTATATAGAGTCTTATGTAGTCATCAGAGACTGCCTCAACTTCGACGTCGAGAAAGAGAGAGATAGAGAGAGAGAGAGAGAGTGAGAGAGATAGAGGCAGATACAAAAGCCTCAAAACGGGGTCAGCTTTAAAGCTCCAGCTCGCAAACTCCACGCTGCGCGCGACGACGATGACACGCCGCATCTTCAGTCGGCTTCGTCGAACTACATCACGACGGCCCTTCTGGCGTTATATACTCCTTTCACTCTTTCCACTCACTCACTCGCACATAGATATATACGTACGAACAAACATTTCGAGAACATCTTTATTTCATAAAGCTACTGCTGTAGCTAGCTATTCCCAAGCATATGGGAAGGAGTTGCGAAGCAGAGAAAAAAAGGCTTTCGCTAGATCGTCTGGCAGGGCTTCGGGGCTGATATAAACGCACGCTTATATGCACGTAGACCCGAGAAAAAGAGCAAGCTCGTGTGTACTAGTAGCAGCAGCTGTAGAAAAGAAAATTGTCGTAGTTGCACGATGCCCCGAGGCTTGTTTATCTGTGTATACGTACACACAGCTATATGCTGGAAGCACGAGGCGTGCTCAAGTGGCCGAAAAATCAACGCTTGCTCCATGGCTTCTTGCTGATGCTCGCAAAGATCGATCGACGCGGCAATTATGTTATCGCGTGAAATCTCGAGGGCCAAAAAGGGTATAGAGGCGATGCGCGCCTTTTTATTCGGATCACGAGATCCACGAGAAAGGATTTTCATAAACAGCGGCGATATAAAGATTTTCGCGCGCAGCCGTAAGCTCGCACGCGCTTATGTGTATAAGCGTGCGCGCGTGTGCCATTAGCCAACGCTTATATACGGGTACTCGGTGGAATATAGATTCGAGCACGTATACATGCGAGTCCTGAGTGCCATAGATCGGATGCTGGCGCGTTCGGATAGGTATAACGCGTATCCATATATATATGAGCAATTCTCTAAATGAAACGCATTTTTGGAGGTAGAATCGCGGCAAATTTTTTTTTCAACCTACGCGGATACGGACCCCCGGGAAATGTTTTTGGGGGTCCTAGGAACATGTAACCACGTAGGAACCATTGAAATTTCAATAGTGCTTATTTTTATAGCTACTTTTGTGATTTAGAGGACGAAAAATCATGTTTTCTCGTAAATACGGCTAATTACTCAATTTCTAACTCGCTGAAAAAGTATCAAAACTCATCTAAAAAAAATAACTGGCTACTGTGTTCGATAGGAAATTTTCTCAGCTTTCCAATGGTGGTATCAGATTTTCCGATAAGTCGCACATTTATCGAGAAAATCGCCATCAAACATGCCAAGCTAAATATCTCGAAAAACTCGTTACGGAATAAGTGAATTTTTTGGTTTATTTGTGGATTTTTCTCATGAAAATTGAATATTTCGGAAAATCTGATATTGCCATCGGAAAGCTGAGGAAATTTTCCATCGAAAGCATATCTTCATTTATTGTTTGAGTCGCATTACAATGTTATACAAGGGAGGTTCTTTTACTTTGTTCGCTGTTTTCTGTTTCCGAGCTGTATTCAGCGCGGTCGCGAGGTTTTCGGCTCGCTACAATCAAAACTAGCTCGTAATTCCACTGAAAAAATAAATGAATATATGATTTCGATAGAAAACTTCCTCAGCTTTCTCATGGTGCAGTCAGATTTTCCGATATATTTCATTTTCACAAGGAAAAATCAAAAGTAAACCTCAAAGATCACTTATTCCGTACCGAGTTTTTCGAGATATTTAGCTTGGCATGTATGATGGCAATTTATTCGGTGAATGTGCGACTTATCGAAAAATCTGATACCACCATTGAAAAGCTGAGAAAATTTCCTATCGAACACAGTAGCCAGTTATTATTTTTAAATGAGTTTACACACTTTTTCAGTTACTTACAAATTGAGTAACTAGCCGCATTTACGAGAAAACATGATTTTTCGTCCTCTAAATCACAAAAGTAGCTATAAAAGTAAGCACTATTGAAATTTCAATGGTTCCTACGTGGTTACATGTTCCTAGGACCCCCAGAAACATTTCCCGGGGGTCCGTATTCGCGTAGGTTGAAAAAAAAATTTGCCGCGATTCTACCTCCAAAAATGCGTTTCATTTAGAGAATTGCTCATATATATATATATATATATATATATGTATGTGCGAATGCGCGGCGAGACGAGAAAGCGCCCGTAACTCGATTTATTCTGCCAGCCATGGAAAAGCCTCGTCGATCCTTTTTTTCGTCTCCACATCCTCGAAATAAATGTTTTATGTGCGCCCATATAGCTCTGTATGGCTTTTATTCATTTTATAAGCTGTTGCCGAGCCATATCGCGTCCCGAGACGCACCTGCAGCTGCGCGCACTGCATTGTCTTGACGTATAAATATATGTATTACATGTAGCGTCGGTAAAATCGAGCTCCAATTAGATTGAGATTGTGGTTGAAACATTACCAGCTATACAGATGCGTACTCTGCGCGACAAAAGTTGAAAATTGAGTTGAGCTCCGGAACGATGTAGTACACTTCTCGTATGTACGTAAAATGCGCTCGAAATATACGTTTAATAATAATAATATAATTGTCGACGCGAGTATTTATATTTCGCTTTTACGTCGTGTATTTACGCAATTGTGCGTGTGCCTTGACAAATATGGTATTTCCATATACCTCGTCGGAGGCGAAATACAGCGCGTGACAGCGACGTTGTGTTGTTGTCGTTGTTGGCACCGAAGATTCGCATTGGAAAGCCCTCGCTTATCCAAGAGCTTGTCGAAATTCGGCACGCGGAGTCGATATATGCACACGCCGCTTGCATAGCGATGGGCTCTCTCTCTAATACGTGAGCTCGTATGATGAGATAACAGCTCTGTACGTACCTGCGTAACAGCGATCGACATCCGGGTTTTTTGTTGTTCGGCTTTTTCGCACGTACCTCTCTGTACGCGCGCGAGCTCTTTTATATTTCGCTAGGATATATGCGATGTGGAGTGGCAGGCCCGCTTTTTCGAATTTAACTTACGAGTCTTCGTCAAGGCGATACGGGCCCCGTTGTCGTGGCGTTGACACATACGCGATCGAGTGTACTGGCATACAAAACAGAAGAGGGAGTCAATAAAAAAAAAAAACGAAGAATAGAGAGAGACAGAGATAAGCTGGGTCGTATAAAGCCAGGCAAGCGCTATCGCGGATTTTTGTGCGCATCTCGACTTAGTCACAGGCGCAACTGAATAATACGCATTTACAGAACTATAGACAATGCCTCGTTACACATTAGTGGCTTTGGGCGCGTTCGTTCTGCTTACGGGCTTGGTGGAGGCCTTCGACGTGACCAAGACCAAGACGGAAAACATATTCTTGACGGAAGAGGATGTCGTTAAGGACGAGCCGGTGAGTGTTCCACAAAAACTTCATTAACCCACTGTGGCTCTGTGTCAATTTAGCCGATCATTATTAATAACGAACTTGACGCTTCTTTCTTCGCGATTGCCTCGCGCGCAAAAAAAGGCTGGGAGTCTTCGAGCCAACGTCAGGGAGTACAGATTCATCGGAGACTTGGTGATCGGGGATCGTCTTGCGGATGAGACCGTGTTCCGTCGCTCGGTGGATATAGCCAATCCGACGAATCAAGTTTACAGCACTACCATCTCATTGAACGTCGAGAGAGGTACTTATCGCTACTTTTCATCATCTGTCTGAATAAAACGCTCGCGATAGAATAATACCACCGAGGAATGCATGGAAATTCTGAAAGAACGATAAAGTGTGCATTTCGATATACTATCGCTCGCGTGAGATAGGGAAAATACATTTTAAAACGTCGGTGCTTCTGAATTTAATTTTTTTTTTTTTTTAATTTAAAATCGAGTGTGCCACATATACTTGAAAAAGAAAGAACTCGAAATTAAATTTAAAATTTCGAGCGTACTCCGAGTGTTGCACTTTTGAGTTAAGCGCCAATTAAAAAGTCTCGACTGTGCAAACGCAGTCTCAGAGTTTTGCACAATCTTGAACTTTTTAATGTTTATCGTAAACCATAATTCGCAAGCTGAGAAATAACTTTATCGACTAAACATTGAACGTTACCATGAATGTATATAATGTGTGCGTATACAAATTGGTAAAATTTTCTAGGGAAAATACACTTCTTGAGCGCGACGAACGAAAGAAACAGCTATGCAGTGGGTTGCGACGAGCCCTACAGTTTAGGACATTCCAAGATTAGTTTCAACGTACGAGTACCTCCGAGCAGCAAATCTCAACTTTGGCTCTTAGTCGCTGCTCATTAAAATTAAATTATGCTCAAACTTATATTTTTGAGTTAAATTGCCTCGGAAATGTAATTTATTTTCCAGAGGCAAGACAATATACATTTTTAATGTACTGGATAATAAAGTTTTTAAAATGGTCCATTGATATATGTATTTTGTAATAAAACAAAAAGCATGATGTTCAAAATAGTTAACTTTGTGGTTATATTAAAAAATAGTGAATGAAAGTATCAAATATTTTACGATCCATCGTTTTAATAAAAAATTTTTTCCCTAACTTGATAACAATTGTTTTCTAAAAATATGTTTTTAAAAGCTTTTAATAGACAGAGAAAATTGCATGAAGTAAATGGATTAGATGGTCATGTACTCAGAGCGAACGATCGAGACAACAAAAAAGACATGAAAGTCAATCGTCCGTAAAACTGTAAAACAAAAAATGAATCGACGAATTTCAAAGGAAGTAAGCGTGCTTATAACCAGGAATTCATAACCTCCAGAGCAAGAGAAAATTCAAGGCAATTAACTAAACTGAAAAAAGCCCTGCCGCACATACCTACATGCCAGAGAGGAAATAAACAAAGCGAACTGTTATCTTTTTTTTTGTTGGAGAACGGTGTGAAGTTGTGCGGCAAATTCTTGTCTCCCCCCTAATTCTCGACGCTTTTCCCGAGCCAACTGATCAAATTGCCCGTTTCACGCGCGCACATTGCCAAAAGGTATTCAAATTTCAGTCTCGAGGTAAATTGGTATTTCTGCGCTTACCGACTCTTATACACTGCTTTTCGCGTCTGTAAACCGAGTTTACGTATGTTGCAAATTCCATTAAGAAAAGCCCCGAACCCATGGGGAAGGCGAAAATTTAACTGGCTTGTCTCGTCTTCTGAACTTTGAAAAGACTCGCACGCGTCAGGATTGCACGTGCGAGAGTCCAAAATGCTCCTCTGCATGTGTACAGCTTATTCGCAAGAAACGCCGGATTAAGAGCCGACGCTCGAGCAAAGAGGAAATCCTAAAGTTTTCTGTAGTTTCATTTGTGCTACGCTCGTATAGATAAGCGTGCATGCGCCTGTAAGCCTGTACAAGATGACGAAAGGTATTGATGGAGTCAAGATGTAAATAAGAAAGCCAAAAAAAGCTTCGAGTAAATCTTCGCTTTGAAGTATCGAAAGTTGGCAAGACGTATTTTGCTCCTTCACTGGGATCTTTTTGCAAAGCGTACACGCCCTCGTACTTGGAAAATACTTAATTCAACTTCGACTTTTTAACGTGATATTATTGCAGAAGTTTGAAAACATATTTTTACGATGATCGTCGTTTTACGATCGTACTTATAGCTCTTATCAATAACTTCGAAAAGTAGAGAAATGATTCGATGTTGTACCGTTGCTCGGCAAACATCCTAAACCCGGTAGATCTAAAATCATATTTTATCATAGAAACTTTGGTCAGATTTAAATTACAGTATACTCTTATTCGTCACCAACAGTATTTGTCGTTAAACACTCTAAAACAAACATCTGAATTGTCGAGGTATTCACGGTGAAAGAAAGAGTTCAACCAGTGCCTCGGCAAGAGAGTTTCGAGCTTTTGAGGATAAAAGACCGACGCGTCGCATAACTCGCGGCTGCCGCGAGTCTCTCGCAGTACAGTGTGCATTTACTCGTCGAAAGAAACTGCCTAGTCTACAACGGCTGCGTGCCACTTTTTTTCTAAATAAATAAATACACACACGCGCGCTAAGATGCGGAGACGAAGGTGGCTGCGACTCGAAAAAAGTACACATGCACACATAAGTCGCGCTGCCGCTCTAAGAGAGTCGTGTGGTAGAGTTTTTTTCTTCTTCTTTTTTCCACCTACCCCGAGGCTTTATTCCTTTCGCAAAGCTGGCTAAGGATGTTAAGGGTGAAAAAAGACTTAAAATTATGAATTATGACGGAGCGCGGAACAGCTGAACGCGCTAGAGCTAGAAACAAAAAAAGTGAAACATCTTTATCTTTTATTTCCTAAACTAAGCTAAAAATCCTAGGAGATAATGACCTAAGAGAGGCTAATAACGGTTTTTTTTACTAGTACTTAGCTACATATTTGAACATTTTTAATATTCATTATCTCGAATTTTAATAAAATTTATAACAATATAGCAATGATTCTCATATTTCTGCAGTGTCTTTATAATGGAAAAGTTAATGTGAAACTTATAAAAGCTAGTACTTAATTTTTTTATCGTAAAATGTTAACCCAACACTTTGGTCCTAAAAGTTAAAATATGATGAATCGAATAACTATGAACAACTTTTCATGTGTAACATGAAGTTAGCGAAATTATAAATATATTGTAACACAACTCCACTTAAAAAATTGGCAAGCTTTTTTATCTTCATGAACAGATTTTAAAGCCTTGAATGTCTAGGACTACTTTGTACACTTTATACGGATAAAGTTCAGCTTAGGAGGAAGAAGTACAATAAGCTTCGCAAGCTATGTAGAACTAATGTAATTCAGTCGCATGCTCTCACGTAGATAAATTAAAAATTGATTTATCGGCAAGGGTACAGGCGTAGGTCAACTTTTGCCAGGCGAACATTTGATGGAAAAAAATTGGACGAGAAAGGAATGGAAAAAAAGAGAATAAGACGGGCTAAAACTTCATCTCAATAGCCTTCTGCATTATGCTCGAAGACCGCAATTTTTTCAACTAGGCTTATAGCGTAGATTTAATTTTTAGATATGCGACTGATCCTTGCGCATCGATAATCGTGTATCTTTTTAGTCAGTTCGAATAACAAGACATTCGATTTGAAAAAAGATTCTCAAAGATATTGGCTTGGACTTCTGTCGTATTGAAAAAATCATACAAAAGTTTTTTGTTGTTGTGATTTTTCAATTAATCTGAGAATAAATTAAATTTTATCTTAACTACACTGAGAGGAATTTAAAATCAATTTTTTAAATCATTTTAAATGAAAATAAACAAATTTTTTTTTAAATATTCATATATATTCGTATATATATATAGCAATTCTACAGTATCTTGTTACTTATGTGTTCAGCTCGAAATCCTCGTTCGCCATCTATAAGTAATTTATAAAACTAAATGATACCACGAATTTTGCCACCTAGCATAGTAATTTTTAAAGGAGAACATTTATTTGCAACGCACTCAATAATATGTAGTATTTGGATCGTAGTGTTTCTTAAAATTATGGTCAAAAGTTTCGTAATTAGATGTGTCTCATCAATTAATTCAAAAAATAGTCATTTTTCTACGCATTACTTCAATTTTTTTAAAAATTTTTTTCAGTGCACAATATTCAAAATATGCATGTAGTCATACTGAAATGGAAATCACAGACGCCCCGAAACAACTGAAACTCATGTAACATCAACATTTACTCCCAAAGAGGAAATTAATATCTAACATCGAAGTCGGCTTAACTGCTAGAAACTTTGGATTACATCTGCAGATCGTTGACGTTGCCTGCTAGGCCGAAACGAAGCATAAATCAACGTAAACGAAATCAATTACTCGACTGCAGCTCAGAAATGAGTTTGCTCAAGCTTACGCATTACGACTTGTTGAACCAACTGCAGCGAAAAGCTCAAGTAAGTGACATGCTTGCGAACCTCGATGTATGTCCCAGTGCCTGAAAATGAACTCCAGGACTGAAACAGAGTTCGATATCCGGCGCAAAAATGATCGATTAAAACTGATTTAATTTCAATTTTTTATAAGGAAAAAAAAACAAGATTTTTTCTAAAAATCTTCGGTTCAACAAATTACATCGAACTATAAATGTTTAATGCTGCAATCAATTTTCAAAATTCATTTATGAACTCTTCCGCCTGCTTAAAGAAAAACTTATTTTTTCTCCCATCTTCTTTTACTCTCACATAAAAACGGATGGGGAAAAAAGAGTAAAATGTGTCGTTTTCTATCTTCGACGAATTTCCTGATTTCAAACAGAAAACTTATATAGTTACTCCCGATGGATCAATACTTCGAAATTGGATAAGATCGACGTTAAAACACACTTTTGAACCTTTATAACGTCAATCCATAAGACGGTATTGACTCTAAGGATATACACACATCTTTTCGTAAATCTAACGAAATTTTTTAGATAAGCAAGCTTCGAGGAGCCTTAATGGTGTATTAAGAACAATGTTGAATCACTTTAAAAGAACACTTTGTGACCGGTAGTGCGTCGAATAAATATTCGCTTGAAGCTTGTTTCGATTACTCGACGACGAGCTCGACTCGCTCACAGTTCAGTTTTCTGCAGAGACTTTAGTAAATAAAAATTGAGTCAATTTTCCAAAAATAATTGCACGGCTCTCTGTCGCGAACGATACGACTAGAATACTCGCGTACAGCATCTACTTCGTATCAAGGTTATACGACCAGTTGACTATGGCGCGTTCAGTAATTCGATTACAAATCAATCTACTTGGCGATGAGCGAAGAAGCTCCAGCCGTTATAACCGAGCTTGCGAGCGAGCGGCCCGAGGCCTTCTGTCGCCCACCTTTCGTGACGCTCCAACGAGTGCCGTTGCGAATTATATTTTTCTGCAACTCTTTGCGGATCTCGGATATACGGCGATACGTTTCAAATACAGATGCATCTGCCCGTGAATTTTTTCCTTCTTCGACGAGGCTGCGGGTCGATGCAGGCGCGTGCACAATTTAACTGATATAATTTGCCCAAATATTCGAAGAAAAGCAAGAAGGTTCAAAGGCTTATATTGCTCCATCGAGGGAGTAGCTTCGAGCCATTATATTTACAGTGTCGAGCTTTCTGCCTTTGAAATGTGCGCAGAGGCAATTCGCGTTCGGTGAAAAGTTAATTCATAACTCGCAGCTACCTATATACGCATATAGTACGCGAATTCTGCAGCCGAGAGAGAGAGAGAGAGAGAGAGAGAGAGAGAGTGCAGGATCTTTTCAGCCGGCAAAGTTTATATGAAACGGGTGCGCGCGCGTGAACATATAGTACAGCCCCGAATCCCGTTCGCAGCCTATAGAGTCTCAAAAATCCATGCAGTTTACGAGTGAAATTCGAGGACTAAGAGAATTCGCATGTATAATCGTAAAATAGTAATCTAGCCGAGCATGCGCGGCGTGCGCTCAAGAGGAGAGCTGCGTTCATCAGGCTGAAAAGACAAACTAAATGCGACAGTATCGTCGGATATAGAGCATACTATGCAAGCGC